CCCCCCCCCCCACTCTTCCATTCCTCATTCAAAATATATTCTACTATTCAGTTTGCTTTTAGTTGCTGCTTGCCAAAGAGTAAAAATTGCGTTCTTTTTGCCGTGTCATAGGATAATAATAAGGTTAGTAGAATAATATGGAGTTAACCAGATCTCATTAAGGCGATCTCAAGCAAAGAATAGCATTGGAAATTCTAGTTATTCATTGCCTCTTTTTTATAATTAGGGTCTTTAAGAGCCTAATTCTCATAAGTTGAATTATTTATTTATTTATTTATAACAAATGGCAGGCGTTTTGATAATTAACATTAGCCCTTTGGTTGACTTCGGGCTTCACAGAGGGGAGGAGGAACATCAAAATGGGAAGAATTCGAGAGGGAGAACAGAAGAGTGATTCACAGATGTAAAGGAAACAGACAGACACCAATGCTCAGAAAGGGTAAGATGAGTAACGAGGAAAGGGGTCGCATATGACATACAGTGGGGTGTTCTGGTAGTTTGAAGTGAGAAGTCACCTGCCGGTTAATAGACTTTTTTGCCGTATGAGTATACGTTGCCCAGGGTGCACCACGTGGAGGTAAGTCTATCTCACACCCCTAAGTTGAATTATCGCTGTCTCAGAACCACTGAATTCATCAAATGGCAGAATGATGGAATCTAATTTTTTCCCCTTTCACATTATTTCATCCAACGCCAAGTCGCGGCTAATCCACTATGGAAATCGCCATTACACTGCATTGGCTGGCCCTTTGATGGCTCAATTTTATGCAGCCACAGGTTAATCATCATAAATCATTCCACAACCACTTTAATTACCTGAAATTACGCCATTGTGAAAGTGAGCATTAATCTGTATTTTGGGGCCATTTTGTTTACGCTGGGCTTGCACCTGTGAGTGTCAAACCCATGACCTTTAAATTCATTGACCATTTGTTTCATTGAAATATGAAGCAAGGTCATTTTGAGGCAACCAGTTCAATCATTCATATCGATGAGTGGGAAGACATTTCTATGGCTAAACTGATTTATTTTAGTTGCAATCGTTTAAGTGCGCGACGTCAATCATACCTAATAATATTATTATATCAAATGGCAGGCTTTATGATATTTATCATTATCCCCTTTGTTGACTTCGCCCTTGACAAGGGGTGGGGGGGGGGGGGGGGGGGGGGGAAGGAACATTATATAGGCTTCAGGACAGTTAACAGTAGCTCATTAGTTGACTTCTGGCCTCCAAGTACCTCTGGGTTTCTGTCGTTGTCTTTAGGGCTGGACACCGAATCAGGTGGGTTTTCTCCATTTACTCCTGTAGGTCACATAGGAGCAATGCTGGTTGAGCGTATACTCCTATTCTGTGAAGGTGCTTCGCAAGGTAATCGTGTCCGGTACGCATTCTAAACTCTACAATGGCTTCGATTCTTGGCCGGTTGGCTGTGTTGTGGAGTGTCACTGTCCACTGCTTTGAGTTTTAAGTACGTTGCCTCTTGAAGTCTTCAATTCTCTCTTGATTAAGGTCTTCGTCGTTTGGAAAGACAGCGCTGGGAATTTATTAATTTACACCTTTAGAGTTTCATTGAAATATGGACCATACCTAATATTTGTTGCCTTAAAGGCGCTTTCCAGAATATCCTGAGTTGGTTGTTGTTGTTATTTGTGAACCGACGTCTTATTGTTCCAAATCGCCAGGTTAATTTTCTGTCACCTTCTTTGTCTATAAAGTGTATTAAAAAAATAGCACAATTTTTTTGGCAGGGATAGAGTTGGAAGTGGCGTTGGGCTCACTTCGAAACCTTGTCAATTCGCAATTTAATGTGCGTGGCGGTTGAAAATGCAGGGGTTTTCCGAAAGTCCGCTCATCCGTATAATAATTGTTTCATAAAATGGACTTTGCCTTTTAATCGCCCTGGGCAGAT